CTCCGAGGTTTGCAGCGGTTGCTGGGGTTCTGAGAAGCAGAGCCTCTGGGAACGGGGCTGAGGGCAGCCATAACTGCTCCCTCCGCCCGCCCTGTTTGATCCCGCCCCGCCCAAGCCCTGCGCAGAGCCATTTGCCGGATCGCCTCAGGCAAAGGCTAGATTAGCACCTCCCCAGAGGACAGAAGTTTTCCGCGGCAGACACAGCTGATTCACACAGCCAGTCGGCCTGGTGGTCAAATCCCTCTAGTATTAACTACAACAATCAAGGCTCAACTAGAACAAGACTGCGCACAAAGACCACTAGGGGGTGCACCAAGAAAGCATAAAAAATGCGGAGACAAAAAAACATGACAGAAATGGAGGATATAGAGCTAAAAATCGCAATTTTGAGGGCTTGCAAAAATGTGCTAGAAGCTGTCAATAAACTTGAGGAGAGAGTCACGAAAACTAATGAGACCCTCGATGCTATGATAAAGAACCAACTAGAAATTAAGCATACACGGACTGAAATAAAGAATATTATACAGACACCCAATAGCAGACCAGAGGAGCGCAAGAATCAAGTCAAAGATTTGAAATGCGAAGAAGCAAAAAACACCCAACCGGAAAAGCAAAATGAAAAAAGAATCCGAAAATACGAAGATAGTGTAAGGAGCCTCTGGGACAGCTTCAAGCGTACAAACATCAGAATAATTGGGGTGCCAGAAGATGAGAGACAGCAAGATATTGAAAACCTATTTGAAGAAATAATGGCAGAAAACTTCCCCCACCTGGTGAAAGAAATGGACTTACAGGTCCAAGAAGCGCAGAGAACCCCAAACAAAAGGAATCCAAAGAGGACCACACCAAGACACATCATAATTAAAATGCCAAGAGCAAAAGACAAAGAGAGAATCTTAAAAGCAGCAAGAGAAAGAGACTCAATTACCTACAAGGGAATACCCATACGACTGTCAGCTGATTTCTCAACAGAAACTTTGCAGGCCAGAAGGGAATGGCAAGAAATATTCAAAGTGATGAATGCCAAGAACCTACAACCAAGATTACTTTATCCAGCAAAGCTATCATTCAGAATTGAAGGTCAGATAAAGAGCTTCACAGATAAGGAAAAGCTAAAGGAGTTCATCACCACTAAACCAGTATTATACGAAATGCTGAAAGGTATCCTTTAAGAGGAGGAAGAAGAAAAAGGTAAAGATACAAATGAAGAACAACAAACATGCATCTATCAACAAGTGAATCTAAGAATCAAGTGAATAAATAATCTGATTTACAGAATGAACTGGTGATTATGAATCAGGGGGGACATAGAAAGGGAATGGACTGACTATTCTTGGGGGGGAAAGGGGAATGGGAGATGCGGGAAGAGACTGGACAAAAATCGTGCACCTATGGATGAGGACAGTGGGTGGGGAGTGAGGGCGGAGGGTGGGGCGGGAACTGGGAGGAGGGGAGTTATGGGGGGGAAAAAAGAGGAACAAATGTAACCTGAACAATAAAGATTTAATTTAAAAAAAAAAAGACAGATACAGTATGATCTCACTTATATCTGGATTCTAAGAAACAAAAAAAAGGACCTGAACCCTTAAATGCAGAGGTCAGATTATTGGTGGTTACATAAGATGGGAGCTGGGTGGTGAGTAAAACAGGTGAAAATCAAAAGCTACAAACGTCCAGTTATAAAACATGAGCTCCCTTTCCTCCTCTCTCTAGTGCTTTTAGGTAAATCCTTTTGATCAGGCCTGAGTGTGGGGCCACAGGGCCTCATCTTTGCCCACCTCTCATGCAGTAGAATTTAGTTAGAAATTTCACACACTGCACAGAAATCATTACACCATAGTGATCATAAGTGCCGCAGCTTGGTTCTACCGGGCCCCTAAGACCAGTCATTTACCCACGATTTGGTCATTCTTTGGGTGAGAGGAATAAGAAGATCCTAAGGGAGGAATCTGGACAGCTAGAAAGGGGAAAAAACACCTCAGGGCTCAGGGCAGCCTGTCATTTGCCAACTGGTAACATGGTGTTTTAGGTGGACTGAATGTCTAGGGCAGTGGTTGGCAAACTCATTAGTCAACAGAGCCAAATATCAACAGTACTTCTTCAAAATAGACTCGCCCAGGCCGAAAACCGACTTCTGCGCATGGGCCACAAAGTTTCAATCGCACTGTAGTGCAGGCCCGCACGTGGTATTTTGTGGAACAGCCACACTCAAGGGGCCAAAGAGCCGCATGTGGCTCGTGAGCTGCAGTTTGCCGAACAGGGATCTAAGGGACTTCTTCCCAAGGAGGTGGGCTTCCATTTCCAGGGCTTCCACGGCAGAACATCCAGAGTTGCTGAGTTGGTTACAATTCCAGTGCCCACCCATGCCCACCAGGACAAGCCCATGGTCCCAGCTCTACCTGGATCCCCCTTCGCGCCTCGGGGGCCCTCTTTCCCATCTCGTCCATCACGACCAGGCAGGCCAATCTCCACAGGGCTACACATGACCAGGGTGCAGTTATCAATCAAAGGTTTCTTGGAAAGGCTCTTCACTTCTGCTCCCCGTGACCTTGGAGGCTGTGTGAGCAGGACCAGCACGGAGAGGAGAAGAAGCATGGCCTTCAGGGTGGACAGAAAGAGAAAGGACATGCTCTTGGTTCCAGAACACGAGTTAGTGCTTAGCCCAGCGCCCAGAGTCAGAGAGGCACTTTCCTAACACCTCGCCCCTTCTGTGGGATCAGGAGCAGCAGGACTCCGAAAGCAATTTAGGACAAGGCGGCCATACAGTCTGGACTGGGAGGGCATGAGTTACCCAGCTGAACTCTGACATGGTTATCAGCAACATCTACCTCTTCTCAGATGCCCCATTTTGTCCCTTCTAGTGACTTCCCTTTCACTGCCATTGGCACGGCTGGGATGTGAACTCCTCACTGAGGCCACTTGTCACATCAGGAAGGACTCTTGAAGTGCCTTTGGGCAGGACAGTTCCCCTCTTTGAACCTCCATCTCCCTGTCTGTATCAGCAAGAGGCTGGGCAAACCCATTTCCTGTCACTTATAGCCTTGGATGGAACAGCACTGGTGGTTTCAGTGCTTGTCTGGAAAGGAGCCAGAATGCTCAGTGACATGTGTCCTAACACAAGATGGGCACATGGGTACATGTTTGCCAGGTGGTCTGCCATTCCTGGACTAGACGCTGTCTCCATGAAGAAAGTTCCAGATGGAACCCAGAAAAAGTTCTCAGAATAGCTGAGAGACCCTGGGACGCCTAGAGTGCTGCCCCTCCACCTGGGACGACTTGGGAGAGGGGCCTCGTGGAGGAGAGCATGTGAGGTGAGCTCCGTCAGGGAAAGGGTGGCTTTAGGTGGAGAAAAAACAAATGTTCAATAGGGTGTTCAGTGACAAGTGAGAGGGACTCTGCAGCTAAGTGAGGTCAGGGTGGGTGCAGGACCTGGTCACTCCCAATGGTGGGCTTCTTTCCTCTTGAGAGAAACTGGAAAGTTAGGAGCCAGGAAAGTGCTCAGCTAAGTGAGGTCAGGGTGGGTGCAGGACCTGGTCACTCCCAATGGTGGGCTTCTTTCCTCTTGAGAGAGACCTTAAAGTTAGGAGCCAGAAAGCACACAAGGGAGATGCAAAGGCTGGGAACAAGCCTGAGGGACAGAGCAAAGGAGAAGGGATCGCCAGGCAGCCTGAGGGGGAGGCAGTGGAGGGCCTTCCTGGCCTCAGAAGTGCTTTCTTCTCCACCTACTGGTGGTTCTGTGCTGCGGAGGACCCTGTTGGCACCAGTTCTTTCTCATTCTGAGTTTACCACTTCCTCGGGCATCATGGGAGTCTCTAAACACCAGGCAAGCTCACAGGCCAGCAGTGTGGCACTTGCTGGGGCAGAGGCTCGGCCATGAGCACCAAAGGCTCCAGCCAGAGCCAGGGCATTGCCCCCTGGTGTGCAGTTGCCACAATTCAAGGGCCCTGTGCCCACATCTGGGGAAAAATGAAAAGCCACAGGCATTCTGCCCAATAGCCCAAGATGGCACAGAAAGCACCACAGCTCATTGTAGCTGAAAGGGGCCTGGGCAGGAGCCCCCTCACAGGGTTGCAGACCTAGGACTGGGATGAGGCCTCTTCGCTGGGCCTATAGCGGTATTGGGCAGAGCCACATCCCCTTAAACCCACATACTGTTCCCTTTTAGCCTCAATGTCAGACTAAAGTATTATTGGAAAATGACTCCTCTAAAAATTACTTGGAAATCAGTAAACTTGTCCAGTGGGTGTATTTTTAAAACAAAGAATTGAAGCTAAGAGAAAAGATGTTTATCCACGTCCAATGGGCAGGTGGTACCAGGATGGACTTTGACCCCCAGACCTGGGAATGCCGGGGCTGTTTCTCCTCCACCACCTTCGTTTCTGAAGAAATCAGGGGTGGACAGAGCCAAGTGAGAAGTTGAAATTGCATTCCCACCTGAGGCTTCCTGAATGGCATCTGGGGTCCGGGTGGGTGTCATATCCCACTCACCCACCCTCCCCCAGCCCAGAAGGCTAATCTCCCACTGAGCAAAGAAAGCAGAGTGAGGGGCAGAAGAATGGTCCTTCTTCCCCCACTACGCTGCCCTCTCATACCCACACTCACACTCACACCTCCCAGAGCAGAAGGGCTACATAAACCCTGGCTTCCTCAACACCAGTACATTAGAGCACCCCAAATGGGCAGCGGGACATATTTGGACACAGAGAAAACAAAATGAGAGGCAGGCACAGACACTCACCATTGCTTTCTCCATGGCTCAGGGTCTCCAGGCCAATAAGGGCTTCCCTGGCACACAATGGCTATTTATGCTGCCCTGTTACTTGAGCCACTAGGCGTTGGTCTTTTAAGAACTCTTTTGGACAATTTTCTTCCTCCTTGACTCACTCACTCTCACCCCCACCTGAGTTCTGGAAACTTTCCCAACACCACACACATGTCTCCTTAGAGTTTACAGAGCACCCTCAGTGCATGACCTCATTTGCACCTCACTGAGCTCTGTGAGTTCAGCGGCATCAACAGTGTCTGGATTTTATAGATTTCCACGAATCTGAGGTCCTGAGAAGAACAAAGCCAAGGAAGCAGACTGAGGGGCAGGTGAGGAACCAAGTTGCACAATAACCTACAACTATTGCAAAAGCATATGCATATTTAAGAGTTGCTGTGCCAACTTCTCTTTGTCCTTCACCTCAACATTACTACCCAGATAGTGGGAAAGAGCTGGAAGCTTCTTGGCATTTCTGGGCAGGGGTGGAGGAGCTGGAGGGGTTGCAGAGGCTGCAGCATTCTGTGAGGACAGTGGTTGGGGGAGCTGCCACCTGCAGGGGTCACTCCTTAGCTTCCTGGTCTAGATGTTGGAGAGCTCCTCACTTGCTTTTTATGGGATGGAGTCCTTACATCCTTGCCTTCATCTCTCCACTTCCTTAGCTGGTGTTTCCTCTGTGTATTGCTCTAGTAAGCAGTTTGGACCCCTGAGCCCCTGATACACTATTGCGGGCATCCCCCAGGAAACTCTCACTTCCAGTGGCCATGGGGCTGTTGCCTGCCCTACTGCTGTTGCTGTCATCTCTGCTCCCTTCTAGATCCATGTGACTTCATTTCTTCCATCAAGCCTTTGCCTAGGTCCACACACCAGCTGCCCAATTCCTGCAATGCTCTCCTTGGCCACTCCATTGGTGGTGCCGACTGCTCCTGGGTGTTGTTGCTGCTGTGGCATCTCCTTGTGTGTTGTAGAGGCTATAATGCCAGTTTCCTCCACTGGTAGGAAAGGGTCTTATTTCCCATAATGCAATTTTTTTGAAGCAGGATCCCAAAGTAGAGCCACTTGTGCCCCAAATGATAAAACTCTTTCATTATTAACATCCCATCCTAGGATGTTCGTGTTCCTCCCAGAGATCTGGATCAGCATGGAGGCTGAACTGAACTGAACCATTGCTCTCCACTCCCACAGAGCCTACCTGACAAGTCTGATCCTGGTAGCTACACAAACTCCTATTTACGGTGACTTTTATTTCAGAAGCTCTATATGTTTTCTCTGTTTGCAACTTAGCTTCTATTAACTGCTACCTCCTAGCCTATTAAGTACTCCCTCTCAATGCCCTGGGATCCCCCTATAACACAGACTATAGTGTTTCCTTCATCTAACTCCACATTAAAAACAGGGTCTAATTTTATTTATGATCCATTCAGACACTTTTGTTACAATGATAATGTTTGCCTTCCTCAGTTACACCAACACAGGTGAGAAGTGTCAGATCTCAAATGATGATCATAATGGCTTTCATGAATAAGAAATGAAGATTACCATAGCTGACATGGTATGGTAAGTAGACTGATGAAGCAGAGTATAGAATCATTGATTTAGAAGACAATGTAGGAAAAACACCCAATCAGAACAACAACAACAACAAAAAGAATTAAAAAAAACAAAAACAAGGATAGTGTAAGGGAACTTTTGGACAACATGAAACTTAAAAATACCCACAAACAGGTGTACCAGAGGGAGGGGAGAGGGAGCAAGGGAGAAAGAACCTGTTTGAAGAAATAATGAAAGGAAACTTCCTCACCTAGAGAAGGAAAATGTCATACAAGTTCAGAAAGTCCCAATAAAGATGAAGACAGAGACCCACATCAAGATACATCACAATTAAAATGGCATACTTTAAAGACAAAGACAGAATCTTAAGGGCAGCAAAAGAAAGACAGCCAGTTACCTACAAGTGAGCTCCCATAAAGCTGTCAGCTGATTTCTCAACAGAAACACTATAAGCCAGAAGTGAATGGCATGAGGTATTCAAAGTCATGAAAAGCACGGATCTGAATCCAAGACTACTCTAGCCAGCAAAGCTATCATTCACAATTGAAGGTGAAATAAAAAGCTTCCCCCCCGCCACACACAAAAACACACAAAAAGCTAAAGGACTTTATTACCACCCAACCAGCATTGCAAGAAATGCTAAAGAGACTGTTGTAAAAAGAAAAAGAGAGAAGGGAGTGAACCTAGGCATAAACACTAAAAATGGCAATAAATATAATAAATAAGTATCTATTTATATTAATAAAAGGGTAGTATGCTAATTAGAGTAGTCATCATCCAATGTCCTTCTGGACAAAAACATGGTGGCAGGGGCCAAGGCAGAGGTGGTTAGGGGCAATCAATCCAGCATTGTGGAGCAGTTATTGGTGATCAGGCTGGCAGGCGGGGAGCAGTTAGGGGGCGATCAGTCCATCAGGGGGGAACAGTTAGGGGTGATCAGTCCAGTAGACAGAGTTGGTTAGGGGCAATCAGGCAGGCAGGCAGGCAGGCAAGTGATTTGGAGCCATCAGTCCCAAATTGCGAGAGGGATGTCCGACTGTGCAGGATGGGGCCTAAACTGGCAGTTGGATATCCCCAAGGGGTCCTGGATTGGAGAGGGTGCCGGCCAGGCTGAGGGACCCCCCACACACAGAAATTTTGTGCACTGGGCCTCTGGTCTATATATCTACTTATATAAAAACCCTGGGTGGTGTTCATCATGACCAGAAGAACCTCAGAGACCAAGCGGAAGGAAGTCAGTCCTACAGGGGTTGTCTTGGCAATGGCTGTGCCCCCCCCCCTCACCCCCGAGCTGTTTCCCGGAGCTGTTTCCTGTAAGGGCAGGGTTTGAGGCAGGAACCCGCCCTGGGAGCGTGGACGCATATCTTTTTAAAGTGTGCCGCGCCAGCACAGCCAAGGGTGAACCTGATTGGGGGCAGCTGAAAGGCTTAGAAAAGACAGACAAGAGAATGAAGCCAGGTCTCAGTGGGACACTGCTTCTCTGAGAGACAGTGACCATGCCCACAGCTGTGTCTTTATTTTATAGCAGATGCTACGAGGCAAAGTAAGGCCGTGACCAAGATGTTTACAACATTCTCCTGGGTTTCAATCCCACTCAACTACATGCACCTGAAATCTATCAAGCCTACATCACTCAGGCATGTGGGGCCACTTGTTCAGACCATAGGTTCAAGGTTACAACTACAGCTGTTGGCTATAATTGTCTGGGAGGGCCCTGCCCTCCAAGCTGGAACTTGCACGTGGCAATGAGAGGACTGTGCCCTCTCATCAGTCCAAGGCTTGAACCTGTCCAAAACACTGTAGCAGCTCCCCACAATAAAGTTTTAATTCTGTTTCTTTGTTACTAATGTTGTGGCCCCACCCCATAACAAAGAAACAATTTCTGGAGGATGAGGCCCAGGAATCAGGATTTCAAAAAGATTCCCAGGTGATTCTAATGTGCAGCCAAGGTTGAGAACCACTGCTATAGATAATATTAAA